CACTGCCCCGGCTCCGCTCACCCCGAGCCCGCAGCGCACGTGGCCCGCAGCGCCCGCACCCGCAGCCGGTTCGCCGCGTCGCGCAGGGCCTGCAGCGGGGGCTGGTCCGGCCGGGGCTCGCCACTGGCCATGCTGCGGCTGGCGGGACCCGCGCGGCGTCTGGCGGCTCCCGCCCCGCCCCGGCAGGAAGTGAGATCACGGGGGGGGGCTGGGATTCCCCCAAGGATGCGGGACGATGGGGACCCCCCCACACACTAGTCTGCTCTGGCTGGCCAGTTGTCCATACGATCTCCATCCGGGCCTGGAGTGACTCCGGATTGACCCGGGGGAGCTGAGCTCAGAACCCAGCCCTGCCCCCATTGCAATCTGGGGCGACTCCGGATTGACCCCTGGCAGGAGCTGAGTTCAGAACCCAGCCCTGCCCCCATTGCAATCTGGAGTGACTCCGGATTGACCCCTGGCGGAGCTGAGCTCAAAACCCAGCCCTGCCCCCATTGCAATCTGGGGCGACTCCGGATTGACCCCTGCCGGAGCTGAGTTCAGAACCCAGCCCTGCCCCCATTGCAATCTGGAGTGACTCCGGATTGACCCCTGCGGGAGCTGAGCTCAGAACCCAGATGTGTGCAGACTGTGCACTCCCACGCATGTCTGGGCTTTGCACGCTCCACGAGGCATGGGGGGTGGGCGTGCGGCGCTGGGGGCCTGGCATCATGCCCGAGGATGCGGCTGGCTCCTGCTTGGTCCCTTGGCAGGGGAGACGCGCCTCAGAGCCTCTCCAGTGTTATACAGGGCCCGTGGGGGCTGGTTATCCGGGGACCCCTCCTCCGGGGCCGACATGCAGCCCCTCCGGGCTGGAGCGGGGGCTGGTTATCCGGGGATGCCTTTGGGGGTTCTGCCGGGGGTGCGTTCGCCATGTGCCTGACTGACCCATTCACTTCACCCAGGAACCAGGCCCCCACACTGACCCTTTTACCAATGTGGGAAACTGAGGCACACACAGGCATCATACAGATGTTACACAAAATTCCCCGTGTATACAGCGCCCCACCCCAGAGGGGCTGTGTCCCGGCCCCGGGTGAGGGGTCCCCGTATAACCGGCCCCCCGGAGGGCTGTGTCTCAGCTGAAGGCAGGTTTCCTGTGATGCCAGGCCGTTGTCCTGCCTACCAGTGGCGGTTCCGGTTCTGTTTGGGTCAGGGGCACCGGGAAGGGAAGGACTCCGCCCCTTTGGGCTGCCCCAGCACCCATGCCAGCTAGGGGGGACTCTGCCAAGGCACCTCCACCACCCAGAGGGGTATATGCCCAGGTCCTCATCCCCCATGGGCAGCGGGCAGCGCCCGAAGGTCACACCCTCCACGCCCTCATCTCGCTCACCAGGGAGGAGGGGAGGCCCTCTGGGCGGCAGAGGGCCAGGACCGTGCCCCGGGGTCCATCCGCAAGCACCCCGTGCCCAGGAGAGGGTGAGCCGGGGGCAGGTGCAGGATGGGAAAGAGGAGG